TTTAATAAGTCTTTCATTCTATTCAAATTTCGCGTTTTGATACAGATATCCTAGGACACCTCCCACCCCTTCTCAAAAATTTTTGGCAGCTGATGATTTTTAATGTTACAAGCACCCACTAATAAGGGATTTTTGGAACTTTCACCTCTAAGGGGGTAAAATAAGGGATGAACGGAATATGGAAGTTCAGCGTCTTTAAAGTTAGAAGCACGAAATAAGAAATAATCACGCGAGCAATGACTAGTTATTACATTTAAAAACGTCAGAAAATTTCGACACAGCTAAATGTAAAAAAATGCAACTTGATGTCTATACCTAGATAAATATGTATATGTAATACACAAGTGTCAACAAAAGGTCCATAAGCTAGCGAGTCGCCTTCTGTAATATGGTGGACGGGACAAATATTTTTATTGCCAAGATGTTAGTGGCTATATTTTGGTCTCTTTGGATAACTAGTAGGGATAGCGTGAATAACGATTATAGACTTAAAAAAATCAGAACATTCCTGGGATTGCATATGATAGTTGACAAAAAGGGTTTTGACACTAATTCTAAAGCCGGCAGCAAGCTTAGTCGTAGATTGAGTCAGATCCGCTTCCACTATCGCCTTCAATTCGTCGTTGTCAGCTACAGTTGCCGGCCGACCGCGAGGCTCGTTCTTTAATTTAAAACTTTCAAATCTAAAACTATTGAACCAATAATGGATTGTGTTTATATAAGCAGTGTTAGACCCGTACACGTCGTTAATGTTTCGTGTTGTTTGCGCAGTGGTATTTCCACCCAGGAACTCATATTCGAAAATTATACGAATTTTTAATATATCCATGGTGCAAAAAACTACCACAATTTCACAAAAACAAAATTATCTAAAACAAATGACTGAATGTAAAATAAAAATAACATGGCTTTCGAATAAAATTTATTTGAATTTCGAATTGGGCACCAATTCACAGAAAATTAAATATGAAAATGTTGGTTTTAAAAATCTCGAACTTTATAGTTAAAGAACTATTAACTTCATTCTAAGAAAACATTATTGCAGAATTGTCCCTACGATATTAAGTCACAAATGCATGAGCTGTATGAATACGCTCACGAACCGCGTGTGGGTGGCATTGGTCACAATGGTGTTTGGGTTGGCATTCGTCACAGGGCGGCCAGACTCATGATTGATTATACGCACGTACATACAATGCATATAGGTCTTTACAAAAATGAACCACTCATCATTGTTGCTTTTTTGGTTAAATATCGCTTGTCAATTTATTCACTTATAACGACGTAAACAAGCCATCAGCGGTTAAGACTCATCTTTATATAGTAGTAGCTTTTCGGCATTCGTCCGCGTGGTGGTCGATATCAGACATCGCAGATAATACAATAAATCAAATTTATAGGTATATGTATAAAATAATATAAAAACTAACTGGCTGACTGATTTATTGACTGATCGAACAACGTTAATATTATTTTTGATAGAGAATATAATTATACTGAGAGTTTGGCATCGATAAGTAAAAAAAAAGTTCCCTATACATACTTGCACCCCTTTTTAAGGTTTTGAAAATTAGTAACAACGTTTTTCATTACTTTTAATAAAGAGTATTTACTGTGAGTTTGAAAATGCTACTACGAAAAATTCGAAGTTTCATATAAATAGCCAACCCCCATTTTGCACTCTTAGGAGTGGAATTTAAAAGAAATTCTTTCTTAGTTCAGACTTACGTCACCTAAAGAACATTTGTGCAAAATTTCATGCTTCTAGACACAGCGGTTTCAGCTTGCTTGCGTAGATCCATCAGTCAGTGAATTAGTCTTTCAGTTTCTTTTTTTATAGATATAGATGAAATGAAGTCGCTTCCCGTTCTTTTACGCTTAGATCTTTAAAAATATGCAACGGATTTTAATGCAGTAAGTATTTATCAATAGAGAGAGTGATTCAAGACGAAGGTCTTTATGTACAATACATTGCACCCGTTCGAAGCCGGGGCGGGTCGATAGTTACTTAATATTTAGTTACTTATTAGATTTTTTTTATGGCGGTATGTATAACAAAATAAGATATAATACCCATAAAAAAGTAATTTAGCTTTAGCAGCTTTGCTAAGTAGCTAATTTTTTTATATTTTTGGTACAAGATGATTCCAATGCACTTATTTGTAACTAATCCATATTTATATTATAAACGTGATATTGAATTTGTTTGTTTGTGACGCTTTCACGCTTCAAACTCTAAACCGATTTTAAAAATTCTTTCACTAATTCAAAGCTGCGTTATCAGCGAGTGACTTAAACTTACTATTTACAGCGATAACTAACATACATGTGGGCGGAGCTGAGGGCAAAGGCTAGTTGATTATAAATGACAAACGCAGAAAATAGAGAATTTCTAAAATGTAGACAAGGAACGCAAGCGAGAGTCCGATATGTAAACTATACATTTATAGTATTTATAATATCCTGAACTGCAATGTAACATAATATGTGGGCATCAGGCATGCGGCCCGAAATCGGACGTGACAAAGAAATATTCATAATCTCCGGAGGCCTCTGTAAATAAAAATTATTTCATATCGAGACAGGTGTAGCATCGGGTTACGCAAGCGTTGGATAGTGGTGGTCGCTAGCACACCGCTGCTCAAACTCATGGACGTTAACATTCGGTCGAATTATATCACCGACCTTACAGGTGCAAGCTGTCTCATCAGACGTGAGTGCTACAGAGAATACATTGACACTATCTTATAAATAATCTCAACGTTTAGTCCCTAAATAGCAGTTAAAGAGTTCTATAAACTGTGCTAACAAACTTTAATGCCTTTTATTTATTTCGTACCAGGCAGCGTTTCGAAATATATGTGAAGTGGTTATGTTGTGAATTTTATAAACACAGATACCTACGCATGGTGCTAGCTAATCTAAAGATATTTAAAGATTGTAAAGTAATCTGGTTATTATGAACTATGTGACACCGTGGACTTAAACATATGTAAAAGCCTATCGTGTAACTTATAAATAACATTTAAGCGTAGGCCTAATTAGCTATAAGTGGCTTGATAAGTTTTTATTGTCTGGATGTCGCGTGACTTACTATAGTTTGTATACAAATCCGGTCATGTCCTTTAAAGACTAGTTCTAAAAAGTACAGTACCTACTACCAAACTAATTGTGTACTGTTGATGTATATGATCTTGAGTTTGAAAATAAATATTATCAGAAAACCGGGCCCAAGTCAGTCTTACACTTGTTGACACACACACGCGCTAGTTACAATGCGTACCTACAGGAGATTCACAAATACAGGCAAGACCGTTCCCTCGTACCAAACAGCCCTTGTTGCTAACTCGACTGGAACTTTACACAGGGTTAATAAAGGTAAGAATATATGTATGTACATATAGCTACTTATATTTCACCATTTAGAGCGGCTGTTTACGCTTACATTGGCAGCATTATACAAACCGTGGTAATTTTGAGTGATGCCTCATTAAACTTGCTTAACTATAGCGGTTATTATTTTATGATTGTAAATTATGGAGGAACGGTCCGAAGATAAAAGAATTTATAGATATAATATTCATAATTTGCCTCCGTCAGCGCTATTATGGCTAAATTAACGACGTATTAGTGGGATATAAAGCAATTAGATATGTATATGTAAAATACAACTTTAAAACTTGAGTTTGTTTGTAATCGGTCAGCTTGTAGCGCTCAGCCAGATCGAACTATTAATAGAAACGTCCGTAATCTGAGGGATTACAAGTTCTCAACCGACTTGTTACCAAATGGTGTTGGAGTGTTTTATCGGTGACGGATCAGTTTCATAAGGAATTCAAATTGATTGTCACTCACAAAATTAAAATTTACTCTTGGATTGCATACAATTTTGAAAAATGAACCTTATAACTGGTAATATTTAGGATTATTTGGGCATGGTGTATATTCTCGGTGCGGTAGTTACCTGTCGCGTCGTTCGGTTGGCGTCCACATCGACATGTCATTCGTTGTGTACTCGTCGCGTGAACCTGCGTTTAACTAACCGTTTTGACAAGATTTAGATAAGGTTATTAGTGTTATTTTCTGTAAATTTTTAGTTTTTTATTTACTAATAACAGTTATTAACATTTATGCAAACTAAAGACTGTCTAGTGATCGAATTTAGACCATATTTAATAAAATTCTTCACTGCCAATTTAAGTAGAACTGTCATATGTATTTTATAGAGATGCCGAATATACGAATACCTAGTGTTCGTTATGGCTTATAACTGATTTATTCATATATATTGCCATATTTTTTATTTTGTTTTAGCTTTCTTGTTTTAGCTCTACGTCTTCAACTGTGATATTGTTTAACTTAATCTAAACTAAATATATTATTCAAGAATTCACATATTAATTGCATGTAGGTAAATATAGATTCTAAATCAAACAATGCGATAATATCTTGATCTGCAAATGCATTTGCATGCAAATAAATATATAGGTATTATAATGTATAAGTTAGTAGAATAATTTTGTAAAATGTGTATACTCGTAAAATTATTCATTGTCAGACATCAATTATATTACCTACTTCATATTTTTTTGTAAATTATTATAAGGTACAATTTTTTTAAGTATGATAAACATATCTAGCAAAAGAGAAATAGTTTTTAATCTATCAGTGTCAGATTAAGTGGCTATATTTTTATTAAACGGAGTGAATCTCTCACTGGCTTCCTAGTCCGTACGACGAGATAATATCGTGTAGTCAAGGGTTCAGGCAAAGGCACCGGCCTCTGCAGTGACAGCGCATCACAATACAGTCGTTTAACACGCTCACCGCATTTGGAAGATCTCTTGACAGCTGACATGCATTAACTACACATAAAAACGATTTTTAATTCACTTTGAATACTCTGTGTGAAGTTCTGTGACCTTAAGTAGACTTTTTGAACAAATTTGTGGATGATAAAAACTTTGTTTCAATAAGTTTTTGGGGTAGGTTTTGTCGTTATGTCTACGAAGAGAGTGACTATTAGAGTATTTAGAGTAGACGATGGAGAGGCGGTTGAATCAACAATGAGCTGTAAGTTGCGGCCTGCGGTGGCGTGCGCGAGGCGTGTCCGCGCTTCATCGATCGCAGCCTCCGACGCTCCTCGACGACGTCTGCTCCCCAGCACCCCTGCCGCGTCCCTCGCACTTCGTACCGTAGCCCCGCGCGCGTTAGCACCCCGACCGAATGCATTTACCACCCGCCTCCCTCGATGTACACATACATACTCCAAAATCTACCTGTCTACCATCACTGTCTGCTCCCACACCTAAAATGACTGAATGTTACACATTTAACCAATGCTTAACACAATTACTTTTTTAAGAAACAAAACTCCGTGGATTTTTATTTATTTGATATTAAATTCCTACTTAAGGTGTTGGGCGATCAAGATTCTCAATCACTAAAGCTGCAATTAAAACAGTTTACTTCTCTTCCCAAGCAACCTGTAAATGTTATTTTGTGCTCATAAAAACTGAATTACCTACCTAAGTTATAAAATTTATGTGCGTACGTTGAAGCCACCTTGAGAAGTTCGAAATCGTTGTAACTTTGTTTAGTTCTTGTTACATTGTTGTGAACATAGCTCTAAGAAATATTATTCAACTAGACATTGTATCTTCCTCCTAACGGATAATGATGCACTTAATATATTTAATAATAAAGATGCTTTTACTCCTGATAGCGTCGTTCATGTACGTAGCTGTATCTACCTTATCCGTACAAGTAAGATTGATTTATTTTGAGAGGTCACTTTGGCACTATTATCACTTCATACTTAAGTGACGTACACGCCATTGGTAATCTAAATTAAATTTGTGGTGTATCAGTGTAGCGCGATGGCGCCAGCAATGGCCATCCATCATCGATAATGGTGTGGTTACACTAACGACTATACCCTCTGTCCGCCATAGGGCCGATACGGTGCTTTGGCCCGAGCTTATAATGCACCCGAACATCTAGCTAGTGTACTGCCTTATATTTGATTTGACACCTTGCATCAATCTCTCAAATAGCCCGTTCATCTCGTATTGCGAAAGCACTAACAACTTTAGATGTAAAACAACCGATTTGAAACGTTTTAAAAAAATGTTGCAGTTTTCGCCTTGCCTATTACTATGCTAACTAACTTGCCTACAAAAATGAAAGAACTGTGGTTTACACTTAATTGTGGGCAATTTTTGGTCACCTGACGTTTCATTTTAAATAGTTTTTAGAAAATCAATGGAAAGTACCTACTATATACCTACCTACATTACCTACTATAATTATTTACCTACCTATAAATATTTATTACACTACACACACTAGATTAAAATACATCATTAACACAATACCGTCCGTTTTACTTGCATATAAAAAAGACAACGTTATGTCTTCAAGGCCGTGTTAGTTTGGTTTTAAACCGAATCAAATTAATTATTTATATCGTTGCCGGGGAACCAGGTGTACTCTAGAAATGAAATCCCTGGTACCAAAACGTACCTCGGGCCATCTACGGAATGTGGATGACACCTTTCTGTGTGGGAACCCCCATGTCCCCCTTGTGCTCCGGAAAAGGCGCGAGTGCGCTCAGCGCGTCTCGTTACCGCCCCGGCCTGCTTCTGCTAGGGTGACAGATGGCCTCACCTACCACCCCCAGGCCTGTGCTTATGGAGGACGGAGATCGATCTGCAAATCGTCTGCGGTACCTAAACTTCTCCCGAGAGTTCTAAACCTCTCCCAGTCCCGCTCCGCCATCTCCTTCGCAAGCATAACTTGCTCGCAGAAATAGATGGTGGAGTTCAACGCAGTCTCACTTCGTACCATAGCGCTAATCATGTCACCGAGCGAGAGAATTTCCATTTCGATGGCCGCCTCGCCTCTGCTCAATCCACGCCGGGCATTCTGCCAGCGTCTGGAGCGCTGTGTCATCGGTCCGGCCATCGCAGTAGTGGCACTCAGGCGTTGGCTCCTTGCGGATCAGACACAGGTGATCTCCGAAACAACCTTTCCCGGTGATCACCTGCGTCAGCCGGTATGAGAGGGTTCCGTGACGCCTCTCGAGCCAATCCTCCATGCGTACCGGAAGGCAGTGACATTAAATTGCTCGGTATGTGGTCGCAATTTTTCACCAGTTTCAATTAGTTAGGCGAGTCAAACCATCTCGCTGAGATATAAAGAGTGCAAGATAATATTGTGGAGTAGGTCGCAAGTCGAATCGCTAATTACATCAGCAGCTGACTTCTGTTAAGTGCCGATATCAATCTTGAGCTGTCATAGACTATTCCTAGGTAAAATAGAATGGCAACAACTCTGTCTATCAAAACAGTAATTCATCTACCTAATCCAATTGCAAGAATACTGAAAGAGCAAATAAACTTATGAATGTTACTCGTAGAACATTTAGTAATTCAAACCGTACTACTAGTAGCAGGAACTTTATGTATAAACATTTTAGATTACATGGAATATTAATTACTGGCTAATCAATTGTCATTTACATTTAATCAATGTGTTGATAGTGGTGTATTTCCTGATCTTATGAAGTCTACTAAAATTATTCCCTTATTCAAATCTGGTAGTACATCTGACCCAACTAACTTTAGACCTATCTCAGTACTACCAGTATTTAGTAAAATTTTTGAAAAAATTATGTATGATCAATTGCACAGTTTTTTTAATAATAATAATTTATTGCACAATAGACAATTTGGTTTTACAAGGGGTCGCTCCACAACTGATGCTAGTGTTGAGCTAGTAAAACATATATTTGATGCCTGGGAGGATGCCCACGATTCTCTAGGTATCTTTTGCGATTTATCTAAGGCTTTTGATTGTGTTGTTCATGAAACGCTGATCAGGAAATTACAGCACTATGGTATCAAAAATAAAGCCCTGGAACTACTTGCCTCATATCTATGTAATAGGATTCAAAAAGTTGATATTAATGGTGAGCGGTCTCCAGGCTCTGTGATAGAAATGGGAGTTCCACAGGGTTCTATTCTCGGCCCTTTTTTGTTTTTAGTATATATTAACGACTTACCTCACTTTGTCAAGGACAATCTCGAGATTGTGTTGTTTGCAGATGATACATCACTATTATTTAGACTAAAACGGACACTTTCTGATTTCACATTTGTAAACAGCGCCATTTCGAAAGTGGTTCATTGGTTTGATGTCAACAATTTACTATTAAATGAACAAAAAACTAAGTGTATACGTTTCACTATGCCAAACGTCAAGCCAGTGAAAACTACTGTGATAATTAAGGATGTCGGGCTGGACCTTGTGGACACTACGACATTTTTAGGTATAACACTAGATGCTAAGCTACAGTGGGGCCCACATATTGATAAATTGTCGAGTAGACTCAGCTCAGCAGCATACGCAGTAAGGAAAATCCGAGAGTTGACTGATGTTGATACAGCACGACTTGTTTACTTCAGTTACTTTCATAGCATAATGTCGTACGGTATTCTGCTGTGGGGGAATGCTGCCGACATTCAAACTATTTTTGTGCTGCAAAAGAGAGCTATTCGAGCACTTTATAATTTAGGCAATCGTTGTTCATTGAGGCAGAAATTTAAAGAAATAAATATAATGACAGTGGCAAGTCAATATATTTATGAAAATGTAATATATGTTCACAAAAATAAAGATAGCTTTTTGAAAAAAAGTGATGTACATGCCATAAATACCAGAAATAAAAATAAATTTGTTGTACCCGCCTCTAGGCTCCAAAAGATAAACAAGTCTTTTCGAGGTCAATGTGTCCGATTTTATAATAAAATCCCAAATAATATTCAGGAGTTGAGTATTAACAAATTTAAATCCGCAATAAAACGTGGCTTGTGCCAGAGGGCCTACTACTCGATTGTGGATTACATGGAGGACAAGAATGCTTGGGATTAATTAGCGCAGGCTATTTCTTTCTTAAGTAAAAATGTGGTGTGGCTAGTATGTTTTTTATTATTTTTTCTATTTTTTATGTTTCACTTTATTTTCTCTTGTATTCGTTTGTTCTTCTTAATCTTGTTTTCTCTTCCTTGTTTTTTCACCTTTAAGTCCTTAATAACGGACATACTAGCACACATCAAAACAATGTTGTGATATATTTAATAGTGCCATTGTATCTACTTGTGAATTGCAAAAGAGTGGCCATGAGTTTGTTTGCCCTTTCTTCTCATAAGGCTCAACCCCTTGGAAACGGGCGGTTGTAGATCGGCACAGGCATAGATTTTGTATGGGTTTGATTTTGTTAAATTTATTTGGTTACTATTTGACAAAACAGAGATTGTTGCTTTTGTGTGTGTTGATCTATGACTTTAGAGTCTACATGGAAGACGATTTCAAACAATTTTGAAAATTTTATGAAATAAAGAAAGTTTGAGTTTGAGTTTGAGTTTGAGTTTGACGTATTCCATGGTGGTGTGCGAGAAGCTCGGTTGCGGGCGTCGGCACCTGCGGTACGTTTTATCTGTCTTTACGAGTGTAGTCGGTCAAGGTTCATTTAACACTAATTTCGAAGTTTCCATCCCTGTTATCTAATCTATATTACAGATGTTCTTTCTTAAATAGTTCGTAGTTTGCCAAACAATTATAAATATTTGTGAATACGTAGATTACAATTGTGCCCTGTCCATGTGGTGACGGAAAACTACGCAGAATAACAACACTGCAGAGAGAAGGAAAACTTGACACAAACCCTACCCTTCCAACCCGTCTGGCCAGCCAAAACCTCCTTTCTAAGGAGAGGCTTATGTCCAGCAGTGGACTATTAAAGGCTGTTGATGATGATGATGATGATGAAATCACAATTACAATTCTCACTTTATCCAATATTTTGTGAAAACTATTATTATAAGTTATTGGTCATATCAGGTACATTGGAATTTTGTATATTTTTAAGCTAATATTTCGATACCTAGTGTATTAACATACTAATAAATAAAGTATTGCATGTTTATTTTTAATTTTGAGGCAATAAATAAATTCATAAGAATTTCCTCACCGTGAACAATACTTACAGCACCTAAGTGAAGTAAGGAACAGTTGTTTAAGGAACATTGTTTAACAAAATATTTCACAATTTGTAGAAACATATTGTAAGACTCTTTTTCGAACTTAGGTAATACAAAGCTTTCATAAGAAAACTTTGTATTACCAAAGTTCACAAGAGTCTACAGAATATGTATTTTGGAAATGTTTAAAAATCATCTTATTTAGATATCTGTAAGTTTACAGAAGTTCATTCCTATGCTACTTCTTTAACAACGTGTGTGGCTTGTAA